TGTGATCCATGAAAACTTTAACACGGAGAAAAGCAAGATGAGGAAACGAAAATCACACCCTGCACCTACAAAGCACTTGTTCATCACTAACTCGCTTCCCATTGCAAAATACAGTATCTAACCTGAAGGCACACGACTGTACTACAGTTAAAATTTCACCGTTCAGGTAATGATTTGTCAACTAAGCATTATAGATGCTTACTATGGTTATTCCACTCTTCACGGCACGCTTTTCAAATAAATCAGACGACTTCTTAATTAACAAGGCAAAGTTATGCCTATAATTTTTTTATTTACAAGTACTGTGAAGAATGCGGATATGTACCAAGGCTGAGCACTACTTCAGAGGTAAAACCATTCTGGTATATAAAATAAGGTGATTCAGGCTCACAGTGAACTTAAGTTATACTTTTTAAGGTGCGCTTAGTGCTGTCTTTGTAGCTGATATATCCTCAAGGATCGTAACCTCGTAAGAGGCTGAGCTACTGAACAACAGCTTTGGCGTTCAGCAGGTGAACGGAACAACCTTGGGGCAGAATTATAGCTTTCACTCTTTGAAAGAAAAGAATAGTAGCAAACATGCCATGACTTTGCATGAATCTAGTGAGCGCATCGCTTTCTCCACAAGGAAGTCACCAAAAACAAGGGCAGATAGAGTCTAAACTTTGAGGCATTGAGGTTGGTGTTATTGAAAAGAATGGAAAAACCGAAAGATGCTTCAAAATCAGGTGGATACCATCGCCAACATTGGTTGACGAAGAGTATCACTGTTCTGTTACTCAGAACGTCTAACAAGCTAGGCATGACAACAGCAAACAACAGGGATCACACCTTCTGCTCATTATCACATTGAATAAGCATCTCTCAGGCGGGTCAAGGCGAACTATGGTGCTGTAAGGCACTGACATCAGAGAGCATAATCGTACCTCACGCCCGTTATGACATTACTACACTAAAACACCATGCTGTCATTGTTGCTCGCAAGTCAGCGAGTTGCTACCTGTTTCTCGGCAAGTTGCCCCCAAAAAGTGGAGTAAGTTCCTTGCTCAAGGGAATCAAGTGATTAAGACAAAAGATATTTCTTCTTTGGAACAGAACCCGGCTTCTATGCTTTGAGGCCGACTTCTTTGCAATTAAATAATCGCCTTACTGACTAATGACTGTCGAAAGTGGTGAATCGGGCACTTTGCAGACTTCAGCAATCAGACTATTCTTTCAATAGATCATGAAGTGGAAAAATGTGAGGGTAGGATGTGAATGCTAGATTAATTGATTGCAAACACTGGAGAAACGATACGGGTTTACGGAAACTCAAGATTTAACGGCGACTACAAAATACCTAAGGGTGAGGAAACAAATTTCCCTTGCCTAATACTTCTAGTTTTCGGTGCATTATAAGGAAGTTGGTGATTCAAACAACATGGATAAAGACATGATCTCCTCAAATTTCAAGACCAGCAGTGGCGTTAACGGTCGAGGACAATCATCTTTCTGACTATGTTGCACAGAATATTTTGACGGTTCATCCTCGGATATGACGAGTGCCTGTTCACCGTGTATAAATCAGCCAGGCTTAAAATGCGGACACCCGTGCGCGAATAAAATCTTCATGGCACTCTTGCATGCGAAATTTCTGAACTCCTTGACAACTGCTGATTCAGTTCAAAGCCAGGAAAATTGAGAAGTTATTCCACGCTTGGAAATTTCACAGATATTGGTAAATTTGACTGGATCATAGGAACGAAAATAATCGACGTCATGTAAAGTGCCCTTGTCGATCTGATTTAACACCAGCAGTAAAATTCGTCAAGGCGAGATGCTCCTTCCTTTATTTTTAGCAGAACGATGAACTATATTAAGTGATGAAAGTCGTCCTGGAAAAATAGCGAGGTAACAACTATCAGTCGGCTAAAACTACTGGCAGTTCTGAGTGTAATGGTGATTTTCTGCTGCTGAACGAATCTACAAAAGACCCAAATGCGTGTAGAGCACTGTTGTGACTGTGAGGATAAATGTCAGTGAAAAGAAGACAAAAAGATTGAGAGCTCCCTCCTCGACCGACAGCAGCAGGATGTCATGAAATGATGCTACGATGGAAGGCAATAGACCGTTTTGAGTAATTTTGGTTAGGACTTCAAATCTTGTCTAATTATAGTGGCTTGGTCCCGAACTAAGCCAAATTATTGGATCATCATATGCAAATTTTAACACGCTGTCTGAAATATGAAATACAGCTGCAAGGACGACTAGGAAAATCATAATCATGGATGCAGTCGTATCTGTACTGGCTACGCACAGTTCCTGAAACGTCACGAAAATAGTGTACAGGTGATCTTACAGGCCTTGCTAGAAGTTATGTTTCCCTGCACTGATAATGAAACCCATGTTGGAAACTTTCAGCTTTCGAAGAACGTGTTCAAAAGGGACATTTGATCGTTGTAAGGAATGCATGGCCGTGGAACGTTGCTTGTGGTAACGCTCATCCTGCCGTGTCGTGTCAGATCTTTGTAACTGAAAACGGAGAAAAATTTCATACGACCGGAACACGATGCGTCTGGTCCTCACATGCACCAGATCACCGAGTGGCTGAGAAGATGGACCCTCACCGCAGCAGACCCGTTTCGTGGGTTACTGCCATTTGCGAGGTATCCTCAACATGTGATCTCGTTGCCTCATTCAGGACCGAGCAGATGCTGACGAGCCATGCGTTTCCCGAAAAGACTCCCACAAGAGCGCAGAACTACGCGCTTTGCATCCTTTGATCAGAAGGCTTAAAAAGAGATGGAAAATGTGTTCAAAGATTTTCTTTGACTACACTACGGTCACTTGCCGTAGATTAGACGATACAAGAACTCGGAACACATTGCAGCAGCAGCAACGTATATAAAGTTAATCTAAAATGAAATTTTATTGGTCCAAGATTATTAACTTGGGTTCCCCCTACTGCCGGTTTCGTCTGTTTTAGATGATGACTCGTAAACAACTACAGTTCAGAGGATAGACGGCGTGATTAAATGATTTTGTGGCCGTTCTATTGGTCGTGGTTGCCATAAATCCTTCTGTTCGTCATCGTAACCTGACTAATTTTCTTCAAGATAGAATGATTTCAAAAGGTGTAGACAATTGTTCTGTCTTCGGTGACCACATCAGTCTTGAGTATCTCTGCAATTTTGTTGAAGAATAATTTTCTGCTATTTTCCAATTTCTGTATTCTTGTAGAAACGAGAAATGCTGAAACAGTAGCTACAGTAATGACGATTTAAATTACGTATATACTCATTCATAAAATTTTGTTGTCATAAATAAACAAGCAGGTATTGTCAAATTCTGAATGTAATATGTGTATTGTATATCTTACAGTGTTGAGACGGACGCAAACGATGATCATGAGATGACTCGCAGTGATCGTCAGCCAGAGAATGCTATGGATAGTTGAAGTGGACGGATGAATAGATGAAGTTGGCTGTGTTAATTAGTGAAAGGGAGGCGACAATATCCTGTAGTGAATCGACGTTTTGCACTGACCTCAGCAAATCATGGCTAGCTGTATGACGTAGGGAAGAGTCGGACTACACAAACGGACATGAAGATCATCATTATGAAAGCTGCCGTATTTGAGTGCTATTCGCGTAGGGTATGGAGGCATTAGCTGTCCTTCATAGTTATGAGACTCATCTTGATAGATACCAACAGCGTTGATTACGAATCATCCTCAAAGTGCGATGAATCCATCGGGTTACAAACGAGCAGGCGCTAAAGTCCAGTGGTTTGAAAAAACTCTCTGAAGATCTTAGAGATCGACGCCTTGCTTGGTTTGAAAAAACAACCGAGAAAGAGAAAACAAAGTTGCATAAAACCATTCTCACATGGGAACAGTCACGTGACCGCAGACGCATTGGAGGGCAATATAAATGCTATAGACAGCGCCTTGAGGTAGACTTGCTTGTGACGAGGAATATGATCTTTGCCGCAGCAGCGAACATTGCCTGACATCAATCTGTATTATCATTTCTAATATTCAGGCATCATAAATCTAGGCTGCATTACAGTATTAATTCTGTTAGCTTAAGATAATGACGCCTAAGCAAGAATAGTAACCTCTACCACACGTTGAGCTAGGTATGACATTTTATTTCACTCATTTCGCGCTACGCGAACTCTTCACTGCGACAACGAGAAAGGTGAGAAACGATCAAGGTATTGTACTGCGTGCAAGGGGAACTGTGAGTTAGGCTTTTCGTTTACGTTTAAGTGCTCTGTCTCATACAATAATAAAACGGTTGCCTAACGAAGCAGCTACATCAGCATCGGTCAGAGTTTTTTATGCATAAAGGTGATCTGTCCGAGGGAAAGACTGTATGAGTATTTTGAATTCTGGTGACCATAACATCTGAGTGATCATCGTTCGTATTAATCCCCAATGAATGCACGGTGAAATTTTATTTTTTTGCCCTTGTTCCTCTGACAGAGGATGTGGCCAGTGTACAACATCAGCAGAGAATTCTGGTG